ATGGATTTCATTGACTGATGAAGCTATGCTTTCGTTTGACCACCATGTGCTAGCTCTTTTCCAACCTGATAGATCCTGTGTTACCTAACATTGACCCTCCACCTTCATGGGGATCGGTAGCTCGGCATGCATGCGTAACACATGCACTTACCACTTACTAACTTCACAACCTCATCTATTGATTTCCCCTCCTTACCTAGCACTCGACCGACACCTAACCTCAAGATCGCTCATCCTATTGTACCACCACGTAACATGGGAGATAAAACGCGGACACCTATGATCAAAGACAGCTAGCCAGGTTTTTCACGTCGTCCACTTTCAATGGCTGTGTCTCACTCACAGTCAGCCATAAAGGAGGATGGAACGAACTGCTGTTGAGTTGTACACACTCCCTTTGGTGGACAGCCAACCGGACATTACGTCTACTATGCCAGAGATGGTGTAAGTTGGCCGTAAGTGCCGACCGAGCCTTCTGTATCCATTCTGAGATGTCGTCAGCGACCAACCAGCTAGGGCTGACTGAAGTGACTTCCCAAATAAGTGAAGTGGTCAACACGCTCCACCAACCACTTAACTCCTGTCTATCTTTAAGCCAGGAGTGAATTGGTGTAGTCCAGTCTAGTCCAGTCCACTCCATTCGAAGATTGCTACTCTTCAAGGTGTTCGGAAGACTTTGCATTTTGTCAGCGTCTTCACTTACGAGGAAGGACTATATCATCTTTATATTCTAACTCAACGAGATTATACCCTGGTAACAAGTCAATCACTGAGTCGCTGAAGTAGAGTTTGTGTACAGTCGTCGAGTCAGGCGAAGGTAAATGATGGCAGCTTTTGAAGCGCTGTGTTCCCAATCGGAACACATTGAATAAATAACGACATACTAATAATAACACCAAACAAAATGTATCCAGTTGTCCTAACAACACGCAACAACACATTAAACATTCAATCGATAGATTTCAATCAACATTAATGATTTATTAAACACTTCTAGGTCAGTTAAAAAATTACTGACACCTTAGACCCACGCAAACACCCACCCACCTACTCCATAGTTCTTATATAAGGTCAATTATGACTTGAAACTATTCCGTGGTGAACTGCGGATTAATACACACATTTGCAAGTGACAGAGGGGAACACTTGTTTTAATACTACACAGCTGGTGGCGCTCATCAGAAAGCTGTTATTGGCAACCGTCAGCAAGGCGTATCTACCATCTAATAAGAACTGATGTACCTTATAATATTTGGACCTGAATATATATATATCGTATTGGTTTGCAGGGAGTTGATTCGTTACAGGATTGATCACGAACTGGCATAATTTTAGACAATGATTGGAAAGTCTGGGAGTACTGGACAGGTGTTTCGTCCTACTTCGGGGCTCTTCATCGGTTCAAACCCAGGACCACCACGTCAAGCACACGGACCTGACCCAACGGTCCATGAATTCTACCATCTGCCAATACATGATACATATAGAGCGCAACTGCCAGTTAGCGTCATATATGAGAGACTGTTTTCTTGCCTGATGAACTGATGAAGAGTCTCAAACTAGGACGAAACATATGTCCAGTACTCCCAGGTTTACCGATGGTTCTCTAGCTGATATACATATATCTTACTGCTGAGTAAGTGAAAGGTAAATTGGACCCATACAAAAAACTTGGAGGATCTGGACTTCGTCGATGATATGTGTCTGATTTCCCACAAACTCGAAGATATGCAAGTGAAAAGCAACAAGTTGGCAGAAGAAGCATCCAGAGAATATACGCCTTCAGATGAACATAAAGAAAACAGAGGTGATGAAGATTCCTGGCCAACAGCAAGAGCAACAACAACAGACAACAATCAGCATAAATGGGAGAAATCTGGAAGAAGCAACCTCCTTTACCTACCTATCTGGGAAACATCGTTTCAACTACAGGTGGAACTGACGAGGATATCAAAGCAAGGATTGGGAAGGCAAGACGAGCTTTCATTACTCTCAAGTCTGTGTGGAGGTCAACAGCACTCAGCATGAAAAACAAGATCAGGATTTTCAACTCCAATGTGAAGTCAGTCAGTGGTACTATGCCGATCAGAAACTTGGCGCATCATAAAGAGCACCTCAAACAAACTACAGACCTTCATCAACAGCTGTCTTCGCTCAATACTACTCAAAATCAGATGGCCAGAAAAGATCAGCAACAGGGATCTCTGGGAGCGAACCAACCAGGAACCGATTGTGAAACGAATGTGCAGGAAGAAATGGAGGTGGATTGGCCACACTCTGAAGAAACCATTAAGTGACATCACTAGACAAGCCATCGCTCGAGTGGAACCCGAAAGGGAAGCCGCGAGTTGGTCGTCAGTGCAAGGGTGACTTGGAGGAGGTCATGTGAAGAGGAAATGAAAGCATGTGGGCAGACTTGGAGCCAGGTGAAAACTTTAGCAGAGAACCGAACGCAATGGAGACGCACGGCTGAAGCCCTATGTTCCTCTAGGAATTAAAGGAAATAATAATTATAATAATAAATGAATTAGAGTTTGTTTTGCAACTGACTTATAATGCTTAACATATGAGCCAAAAACAAGGCAAATAATAGTAATGGTAGTAATAATGCGATCACTAATAATGATTTTGACCTTTTCAAGATGGTGAGAAAAGGAGATAGTGTTAAAATTCATTTCAATGATTTAAAAATTGAGTGAATATGATTGATCAACCTTTGCTTAGTTCAAAAAAAATCGCACGTGATGATAAGAGAGTAAGTTAAGCAGTGCTACCCACCATTGTGTGTCTGTGTATGTGCAATAAACATTTAATACTTTGAACAGACACTAGTTAGTAACTAACTCGTTTCATGTGTCTAGTCCTTTGTGCTTGGTGTAGACAGCGTTCTACTGCAGTCAAGTTTGTAATGGAGCCACCATGTCACTCACTAGGTGACTCGCCATCACGATGCATTGTACCGTGAAGTGCTGATATTAGATATTTGGAGGCAGTCAGCAGGAAGCCTTGGACACACCTAGGTTTCGTGGTAGTTGGCACTCACCAGTCAACAAGGCGTATCTGCAATCTTGAAGGAAGTCATGTCCCTTCTGAGATTCGAACCCGCGTCACCCAGTGCTGCAGTCAGACACATTACCACTGAGCTATTCGGGCTCGCGATTGACCTCGTATAGGACTGTAGTGGGTATTTTGATTGGATACCAGTAACTAGTGCGACCACGTTTCGAGCACAATTTATTGCTGCTCATAACTATATCAAGGTAGGTACTCTCTCACACAACTTTCTTGCTTTGTTTATATTATTATTATTCCCTTGGGTTCCAATTGGAACATACGGCCTCAACAACACATCTTCACTTTGTTCTATTTCCTGCTGTCCCCTTCAACTGGGCCCATGATTGCCCATAATCTCTCATCTCCTCCAATTCACACGACCTCCTCCATGTCACGCTCCCACTAAAGCCCATGCATCGCTTCCCAAAGGGATTTCACTCGAGCGATGGCAAAGCGCTCAATGTCTTTCGACGGCTTCCTCAACGTATGCCCGATCCATCTCCATTTTCTCCTACACGTTCTTTGAGCGAATGGCTTTTGGTTGGTTTGTTCCCAGACAGAGTTTCTTGTTGCGAATTCTTTCTGTACGGCTGGTTATTTGACTTCAGGATGGGGTCAGAGAAGGCAGCTGTTGTTAAAACTCTGCAACTTGTTGGAAATCCTTTTCGTGACCGGCGCGTCATGTTTCTGACCCGTATAGAAGAACTGACAGACTGACTTCACATCTGTGTTGAAAATCCGAATCTTGTTCTTTATACCGAGGCGGAAGGCAGAAGATTTCCAAACTGGTTTCAGAATGATTAAGGTGTATCTTGCCTTTCCGATTCTGACTTTGACATCTTCATCCTTTCCACCTGTAGTTGAAACGATGTTTCCTAGATAAGTGAAAAAGGTAGCCTCTGTTAAATCTCTCCCGTGGATGGTGATTGGTTGTTGTTGCTGTTGTCGTTGATTGGTTATTTTCATCACCTGTGTCTTCTCCATGTTCACCTGCAGTCCTGTCTTTGCTGCCTGCCTCTTCAGCCAGTTTGTTGGTTTTCGCCTGCAACTCTTCGAATTTGTGTGACATTAGACATGTATCATCCACAAGCAAGATCCAGACCTTCTAGAGTCTTCTTATCGGTGGTCCAGCCGATTCGTGTCTCCTCACTCCGATTGTACAGTTTGACGCATAATCCAGTCCACCACAATTAAGAATATCATTCTTGGTGATAATTGGCGGGCAGGCAGCCAGCTTGTTTTACTCCTGTATGCACTTCGAACGCCTCACTGAGTTCTTCGTTGTAGATCACCTAACACATGTCATTGTCATATAGCCATCTGTGGGTGAATGAGGTTGATGAGGCTTCGGGGCACTGCAAGCCATAGTGTTGAAGTACTTTCCAAATTACTTCTCGGTCAACGCTGTTTGTCGAAGCCCTTTTCGAAGTCAATGAAGAAAGTTGACGTAAAGGTTTGACTGCCATCCTATGCACAGGGTTGCAATTTGATCAGCACATGATTCGCCTTTCCTGAATCCAGCTTGTTCCAGTGTGGCTGACGGAGTTCTGTGTCCAGTGCATCTTTTATTCCCTCTTCGTTTATATACATACATAACTAAAAATTGATTGATAATGGACTATGACAAATGAGATTTCATCAGCCGTAGAGAAGGCATCAATTGATGGATGGTCACTAGCAGTAGAATCCAAGATAAGCATTTCGTCCCAGTTGGGACTCGTCATCTGTCAACACGAGACTTACCACTTCAGTTCAAATTAATCGACGGGAAAATCTAAATTTAATTTAGTAGAGAAGGAATACGTTACTTGTCAGGTTAGCAACGTCACACGGTGTAAAAGGATACACACAAATGCTTTAGAATTCATGTCCGGAAAAGGATGACATAATGCCGTAAATAACGCACAGACAGACAGACAGACAGACAGAGAAATATAAACACTTACACCATCATTTGTTGTTGGCGCTAAACGAACCAATAATTCAATAGCTTTACGATATTCCTTATTTGTCGGATTGATAGTATCATCATCATGTCCAACTGGTTCAATAATACGTTCTCTTAATGGATGCAGTGTAGCATTTAAACGTTTTGCCATACGTTCAAGTGTTGCCAGGGAACTCAGCAACTCACTTTGACACAGACCACTAATATGTCCATCATCGTCAACGCCTAATTTGTATATCGCTTTCCCACCACCTTCATTTAGACGCCATTTCATTTGAGTGACAAGTTGTTCAAAACGATTCGGTGTTGGATCAACTAATTTCCGCTATAAAGATTATTTAGAGAGAAAAAAACATAAACAAAATATAATAGCACATAATTAAGAATAATTAAACTGTTTAAATATCAGTAAATAGAATTAATTATATATATTGGATTTCATCATGAGGTGACATCGGTTAAAGGACCACACCATTGGAAAACCAGTACTAGAGTCTGTCTGTCTCGGTCGGTCGGTTTTCGACATAGAACTTTGCACAGATGTGCAGCAGTTCGAGTCGCCACACTTCATGTAGCACACAGCAAGAGAAAAAATGTAATATAGAGACAGTGGACACGGATATGAGACAAAAGGAAAAGTAATAATGAAGAACAATATAGTTTCATTGGAAATCATAAGTCACAAGGAGTGGATGCATCTGGGCCTGCCATTGAGAACGAGGATTTTGAGCCATAGCACCGATTGCTTCCAGCCATCTGTTTTTACCATCCTGAGGACTCCAACCAGTCAGGAAGTCCACACCTTCCTACTTGGCTGGCTTAAACTAACTGTTGTGGATTTCATTGACTGATTAGGCCATGTTTTGGTTTGACCGCCGCTAGCTCTTTTCCAGGCTGACCCTGTGTCAGCTAACATAGCCTGTCGGTCGAGGAAGGCGGTGACTAGGCATACGTAACACATGTCCTAACCATCTCATTCGATGTAGTTTCACAATCTCGTCGACTAAGATGGTTAGGATACGTGTTATGTATGCCTAGTCATCGCCTTCCTCAACGGACAATGTTAGCTGACATAGGGTCAGGCTGGAAAAGAGCTAGCGGTGGTCAAACTAAAACAACGCCTAACCTCAATAATGCTCACCCTACCATATTTAACAAGATCAAGCAACATTCTTCAAATTATTGTCAGAAAGGGAAGAAAGAAGGATGCTGAAGCGCATTCGCCATTGATGATTCCGATTCTTGGCCATATCCGATAGCGTTTCGAGCCACCAATTCGAGCTATCTCTCGGACCCCAACTAGGCAGTCGTGACGCACCAACTAAACTAACACAAATATCCTTCATCCCGCGACACCACGTCATAGACTGACCACCTTTCCATCCCATCTCACGGCTGGAGAACACAGGCCGGTACGAAAACCACTAGGATGACATTCGTAGCATATGCCCAAGCCGCCAGAGCCGGTGTTTCAAGATGACGACACTTATCGAATGCTGATCTCCACTGTATTCAAGCACACTCTGCTGCACACATTCTCACAATGATGTCATCGAACGGAAGCAATCCTACACAGTCATTGCATACTGTCAGTGCGCAGAGGCTAGATTTCACAAGCGGAGAGGAAGACTGCGTGCATCGAAGCACTGTAAACGCGACCTTTTAAAGTCAGGCGGTTAACGCCGCGACGGCGTCGGAGGTGGCTCAAATTAGCGTATGCCACCCTAGCTTTCATGATATGGTTGAAAATCTCGTCCGTCACACGTCCACCAGCACTCACAACTACCCAGGTATTTAGAAAGCAAAAGGATTGAGCGAAGAAATATTTACATTTCAATTAGATCCTCATCCCTGGACCCTACTCTAATATAAATAGCATTTTTATTACAATGCACAACAGTTTACCAATCAAGTGTCGATACACACAAACTTATCGACAACTTCAAGAGGTCCACCTGCAAGAGTGAGTGCAGGTACAGCCTCTTGGTTGACTGAAATAGACTATAAGCTACACAAAGACGCCTTATGGGTGTTGATAAAACCATGAAGTTGGAAAAACTGAGGTAGGTGAAGTGGGATTCGAACCTGAGACTCCATTGGATGGGAGACAATTGTTTAAGTTAAGGAAACCTCTATACTGAAGAACTAATCCGACTTAATTTACGAAAGTTTCATGGTCCACACTAATTATCATAAACAAGACGGACTTCAATAGTATTAGGTCTCGTCGTTGTGATGCGGAGATAATTATCGCCATTTTTATATTCGATTTCTTGTCAATATCTTCTCAGTGATATTCATTCTCAACTTTTCATATTGACAAAATTAGAAATATGACTATCTGGTGTATAGAAGAAATAGTTTAACACCTAACGTCATTCATCAGACCAATATTTTTTACTTTTAAATACCTTCTTCATGTAACTTGTTATATTTTAAAATCGATCGATATTTTAAAAAAAAAATCGATCTGCTTCTCTCTCTCTCTCAAAGAACATAGTTCTGCTGATATAAGGTCTTCGTTTTGTTCTTTTTATTTATTTTATCTCTACTCCTTTATCTATCGATTAGTTCTACCAACATTAAATCTCCCAAAGCCCCCAACCCAAGTAAGTTAAATATATACACTTAGAGGAAGATTTAATATCTTTACATAACCTAATTTGTTGTCATTCAAATTTCACGACGTTTACAATAAATGATAATTCTATAATTACAAACATGTATATATGTACATCGCGAATTAGCTGTTATAGCTAGAATTCATGGGACAATTGGGACATGAGTCCCAGCGGTTGAATGGTTAACGAGCTCACCTCGCAACCTGAAGGTCTTGGGTTCGATCCCCGATAAAGTCATGCTGCTGAATAGTGTCAAACTAAGAGGAGTGAGGTGTCCAATACTCTTTATTTTCCCCTTCTTTGCTGAAGCTGGAGTCCCTCAGGGTGCTGTTCTCTCTCGCTGTTTCTCTATTCTTTCTCCTTACATGGAATTGCCTCTTTCGGATGAAATTAACTTCGTTTAATACGCTGACGATCTGACTGTTCCAAGCTTAATAGTTTTCTTCGGAAAGCAGCCAGTGTTTTAAGCTAAATGGTCATATGTTAAATCATTCTAAATGTCAGATAGTTAAGTTCACCTTCAGACATATACGTGATCTACAAGAACTGGTCCTTTTTGATTGGACACTAGTATAACTAGTGTGACGTGCCTAGTTCTTTCTTTGGTGCAGACTGAATTCTATCAGACAGGTTTTGCAATGTGGCCACCATTTTAGGTAGTTCGCTATCAATCGCGAGTCCAAATAGCTCAGTAGTAACGTCTTTGACTGCAGCACTGGGTGACGCGGGTTCGAATCTCAGAAGGGACATGAGTTCCTTCAAGGTTGCAGATACGCCTTGCTGATGATTGCCAACTAGCACGAAACCTAGGCATGTCCAAGGCTTCCTGTGGCCGATTGCCTCCAACCATCTAATGACAACAATTCTAAGTATACTGTGATGGCAAGCAACCTAGAATGGTGGCCACATTGCAAACTTGACTAATGGAATTCAGTCTGCACCAAACGAAGGACTAGACATGTTACACAAGTTAGTGTTCAGCCAAAAGGACTATTGTTAATTCAACTCTTTTCTACTCTTTGTAAATTCGTACATGATTGTGCCCGCTTGAATAAAGTTCTGTAACCCGTATCACCCAGTGAGTGCTGCAGTCAGAGACGATACCACTGAGCTATCCAAAATAGTCCATCATAGCTGATAAATATTGTCTTTCTTTTTCATTTAGTAAGTGAAAAATGGGGTTTCAAGGTTTGAAGTTTTAGTGGTAGTAATGACGTTGTTTTAATGAGATGGGATTTTTAGCCTAACGCCTAACATTACTTTTCTTTCGAGCTTACTATCAATTAGGCTAAGTTTAGTAGGAGCGAATCGGCTGGGAATCGAACTGATTTCAGTGACTCAGGGATTGTCTTGTTACCGGGGTATAATCTCGTTGACTTACAATATAGGGATGATATAGTCCTTCCTCATAAGCGAAGACGCTGATAAAATGTAAAGTCTTCTGAACACCTTGAAGAGCAGCAATCTCCGAATGTTTGGCATGTGGTTTACTCCTGTCAGTCAAATGTCAGATGATGTTACAGGACTGGACTGGACTACATCGACTCACTCCTTGCTTAGAAATAGGGAGTGAAGTGGTTGGTGGAGCGTGTTGACCACTTCACTTATTTGGGAAGTTGCATCAACCAGCCTCAGAAGGTTGGTCACTGTAAACCTCAGCATGGATACAGAAAGCTTGTTAGGCATTTGTCACCAGCTAACGCCGTCTCTAACCTAGTAGACGTGATATCAGGGATGGCTGGTTGTCGATGCAACTTTCCAAATAAGTGAAGTGGTCAACGCACTCAACCACTTCACTACAGGTCTTTAAACTAGGAGTCGACAGAGTCAAATTCCGCTCTGAGGTCAAGAAACATGGCAATTGTTGGACGCCTGTTTTTCTTTCCTTCACGTTTCCCAGTGGAACATAGGGCTTCAAGCTAGTGGCTTGAAGTTTCTGTAGCAGTGTTTATTTAACAGGGTGGGGTTGCTAGCCTCATGCCCAACCTTTCCTCTTCACCAGCATTATATTTGGCTTAGCGAGGTAAAGGAGTGCGTCGGCCGGGGATCGAACCCCGGACCATGTGCATGGTCGGTAAGCGTTCTAACCGCTATGGCACCGATGCATAGGTATACCTATGTTCCAGAACCTATCGAAGTGTGAAAATATGATCAACAGACCCGCTATCTGGTCTAAGGCCTGTGCCATTTTCTCGGGTTTGTTTCTCTCGAGCACTACTTAGACTGCACAGAATTATGCAACCTAAAGACTTAGGTACTATATTAGTCAAACTTATCACACCATAATCATCACACAAAGACTTATCCCCCTACCTAATAATAATCAGTGACTTTCATCAGTCTCCTGTCACCACCATCCTTAGACACCTCTAGACTCATTGATGCGGGTCCTGCTGCTTTCTTTAGTTCCACGCCAGACAGCCCTTGTAACCTGTCACAGATGGAGGGCTGATGTCTACATCTCATTCAAGTACGTGTTAAATGGTGGACAAGTTGAGTGTGGCTGTAGGTCAGATAGATTCCCTACAGTGTTCCAGTAGTCTGTTCTGGGAGCCATTAACTGCGCCATTTCTCCCCGATTGTGTCACTTATTATTTGTCTTTTGCAATGATTGATATAGTAAATGAGTGGCGAAAAGCAAAATCAGTGTTATCAGCAATCATAAAACACAGAGAATGAAGGCTATATTAGTGACAGGTCGCAATATCAATATCAGAAACTCGCTTACGACTGATCTGCCCAGTTCCAACGTACACCTTATTACGCTTTAGCAGTAAGTAAAAACAGCTACAGGATATAAAATCAAATTACCGATGCGGCAGGCAAAGCATGTCCACACCCAACAACATTTGGCATTAATCTTTGCTGAGTATGATAACTGAAGTTTACCAAAATCACCAGAGATATGTTCAACTCCTTATATACATCTCTCGTCAGGTCAAGACTGGAAAACTGTACACAGACAGCCAGTCTTTGTCTTAAGGGGGACTCAGGTATTCTAGAACGGGTTTAAAGGAGGGCAACACGTATGATTCTCGGCATGACCAATTTATCATACGAGGAAAGACTAGACAGTCTCAATCTCTGCTTCCAATCATACCATGAGCAGAGAGATTTAATTACAATTTTTGAAATTTTAAATAATGACTATGGACTTGACCTATTCAATCTTTACCCACCGGGTTGGAACACCTTAGAGGACATAGCAGGAGAGTTCAGAAGCCAAGAAGAAATCACATTGCTGTGGATCACTGGTTCTCACAATGTCATAAACTTCTGGAACCGACTCCTAGAAGAAATGGTGTCAGCGCCCTCAAATGACTCATTTGAGAAGGGTTTGCACAAGCATGGAAATTTACTAGAAAGGGATTAACATGGACTTCAAGCCTCCTATCCTCCATCAACAAATCTTAAGGTGTGTTAGAATATAACACAATAAAACGTTCACAGAAAAGAACTATTGAGTAAAGCTAGACCACAGTAGTTAGCAGAAAAATCACAACTGACACCATGTGATGTTTAAGGACTGTCTAATTCCCAATATAAACCTTAATTCTAACCATGATATTGATCCTAACTTCACTCCGAAACTAAATATCAGCCCTGACTTAACATTTAGTCATAGAGACCGACTAATGATTATATTCTTAAGATTATACGTCAGTGTGGTAAACGCAAATAATTTTTTCCAAGGTGATCAAGTTATTGGGGCGTTATTTAATCTTGAGTTTAATTATTTAAATCCAATCTAGGATGACATACTTAGGGCTCAAGTTTCAGGAGTTACATAACTTCTATTAATCATGCTAAAATACTTGACACCGTAAATTGAAAACTGATTTAATAAGAAAACACACTTACTTTATACTCGACATTCCCTACTTCTACTTCGGGAGGTAAAATGTGTGGCATATTTGTAGAAATATTCCCGCAATCAAAGCCACTACGCAAGTTAGTGTTGGAGGTAGTAATGAGGTTGTTGAGTGGCCGATTGCTGACTTCTTTGTTGAATTCCATGGATTTATTCTTCCTCCTGTAATCTCTGAAAACTTTGCTTTGATGTGAGTCATTATGAAAGTTATTTGGTCTTGAGAACGATTTCGCCGATTTCCTACTTAACTTTGTCTTGGATGTTTCATTCTCGGTTGAAAAATACAAAGAAAGCTCATCCATCCCCGCATGTAATAGACAACTTGAAAACTACCCACTAACAAGCAGTTTAGGAATTCTCCAGGACCTCAAGGTCATAGGGGAGTGGCTCGAATTTTGCGCCGGTGGGCGAACAGATCTGATATTCAATATCTCTTTGACGAGACTTTCTGATTTCTTCATGCTCACTTCTTATTTCAAAGGAACATTTTTAGATTTTGTCGAAGTAGCTTCAATCTCCAAATGCAATGAGAGGGTTTCCAATATCCAATATCCTGATTACGAGCTAGTATAAACCAGTGATTTCTTTGAGCTCGCTTCTTGATTTTAAGGTAGAGGTTCCAGATCTTCGGTGAACTTATGCGTAGTAAATCCCGCCACTCGACTGCTTTAGCTCTGGTAGACTCCAGGAGGAGTGATGCGAGGATTGGTCAAGATTGTGGTTTGTAGTGTGCAGTATGTTAGGACTCAGCTGCTGCCGTGAATGGAGTTTGACCTAACACCCGTCGGTCATTCGGTATAGTCATAAAAGTAGAGTAATAATAATAATAATGATAATAATAGGTTGTAGTGTAGATAATATAGGTTGAGATAAGTGAAATAATAAAGAAAGAAAGAAAAGATAGAGTAGTCGGTACAGTGGGAGAAGACAGGACGGGTCGTGAAGATTTAGCTTGTATGCTTATCCATTGACAATGTGGTTTCAAATTTTAAGAGGGTAAGCCATTGAGACACAAACCATGCATTTCTGCATGATTGTCCAGCTTCCGCTTAAAAATCTCCACAGATGGAGCTGTAGTTACGGCCGCCGGTAAAGCGTTCCAGAGACGGCAAACTCGAAGCGAGAAGAAATGTGAACGCACTCGAGTCCTTGGTCTCTGGTGTGCTATCTTTAGCGGGTTACCTCGTGGAAGCCTATAATCACTTAATGGCAGGATGCTCTTGTTAGGATGGGCCTGGTCATTTAGGATCTTATAGACGGTGATGAGGTCTCCCCTGTGACTACGGTAACTAAGTGTGAAAAGACTTAATTTCTTCTGTCTCTCCTCATATGATTTGTTACGGAGGCCGATCACCCATTTTGTCGCTCGTCTCTGGACACTTTCTAGAATGTTAGCATCCCTTTTGAGTAGCGGAGGAGCAATGATATTATGCACCTCAAGGAGTGGCCTCACGTATGTCGTATACAACGTTAAGAATAGTTCAGGAGTAAGAGCTCCCAGTTGCCTATGCATAAAGTGTAAAGTGGCGTAAGCTTTGGCGACGTCCCTCGTGTAATTTACACTGGTGTCTAGCTTTTCTGTTAAAATAAGGCCTAGATCGCGTTCTGATGGCACACAACTCAAGTTCTGGCCACCAAGGGTGTAATTTGCACTCTGTGACCTGCCGGAATGAAGTTGCACTACTTTGCACTTTTTTAAGTTGAAAGGCATTCCGTTAGTCAGAGCCCAGTCTCCTAGAGTTTGCAGGTCAGCCTGCAATCTATCGGAGTCTTCCGATTTGTTTATTGCTCTCCAAATCTTTACGTCGTCAGCGTAAAGAAGCGCAGAGCAATTCAGTTGACAGGGCAGGTCATTGATAAAAATCAAAAACATCAACGGCCCTAAGATAGAACCCTGAGCAACCCCTGATGCCGAGGTGTGCCAGGATGATCGGATGCGGTTGACTTTGGTGCAGAATTCTCCCTCGCCTAAATAATCTTCCAGCCATGAGAGAAGTGCTCCAGAAACACCCGCTTTGCTTATTTTGTGAAGGAGCAGACCATGGTGAACTGTGTCGAATGCTTTTGCAAAGTCGAGAAAGATCACATGGACTGGTACCTTTACATCCCAGGATAGTGTCCAATCGTTCCAAGCTAGTAGAAGATTCGTCACACAGGATCTTCCCTTCCTGAAACCATGCTGTGCTTCATGGAGTAGGTTAGTCCCGTCGAAGTATTTTCTCATGTGGTCGTCAATGAGACTTTCGAATATCTTCGATATCACTGGGAGTAGCGCAACTGGTCTGTAACTGGTCGCGTTCTGCCGGTCACCACCCTTGAAGATAGGGGATAGGATGGCTCGTTTCCATTCACATGGAAGTTTCCCTACATCAAAGGAGTGTTGAAACAGATCACTTAGGGGTTGGCAGAGACTTTCTGAACACTGCTTCAGGACGGATGGTCTTATGTCGTCGCAACCTGCAGACTTTCCCGAAGCCAACTTTCCCAATTTTATGAGTACCATAGCCGGGGTAATTTGAAATGTACCCAGCAGGTTTTCGCACGTTGGTCTTGCATTGTAATCCTGATGTTTTGTGAGGGTAAAATCCTCGTTACTGTTCAGTTGCCTGTGAAAGGCTAGACTGAATGTCTCTGCCATTTCAAGACTAGTAAGAGATTTCCCATCAGAACCCACTATATTGCAAGCTCCCTGGTTGGTCGGTTTTCTTTCAGACATAAACCTGTATAGGCTTTTGGGGTTCACGAGAAGCTTATTGGCGAGGTTTCTCTGAAATGTCCTTCTATCACTCCGGACTCGTATGTTACACCGATTCCTGAGTTCGAGGTACTCTTCATGTTCGGGTTGACTCTGCGATACTCGCCACGCAAACCAGGCTTTTCGCTTCGCCTGTAGAAGGCGTTGTGTCCCCCTTTTTAGCCATGAACGTTGCTTTCTAGCTTTAGGTGTGACCAAAGGAACAGTGTCTGAGATCGCCTGGTGAATGATCTCCTTTACCACTCTCCAGTGTTCTTCTACTGTAAGCTCTGTCCAATTTTTTGGCCAATTTGCTTCGGACAAAAGTCTTCGCATTTCGGTGTAATTGGCTTTGTTATAACACAGATAGGGCTGTGTATTATCCCACTGTAAACGCTCGCGGAGGACTATGTCGAATGTTATGACCGCATGGTCACTACTACCTATGGGAGTCGTGATCTGAACGTTTTCCACTAGTAGCTGGTCACTAGTGAGCACGTAATCCAGTCTAGAAGACTTCCCATCTGGGCCCCATCTAGTATCCATTCTGACATTTTCGGTGAATCCGGCCTCCGTGATGGTATGCAGCAGATTTCGATCAAATCTGTCCTGGGCACATCCCGTCATCAAGTTAAGAGATGGGGCATTGAAGTCTCCAGCTATGACAATTTGATCATAACCCATGTCATGTGTCGCTGAAATTGCATTCAGCAGTACCTGGTTGTGGTCTGCTCCACATGAAGGTGATCTGTAAATGCTGCCCACTAGATACTTACAGTACCCAACGGTGAAATGGCACCATATGGAGTCAGGGAGCTCAATGAGGGGAGGGTCGATTGCATGGACACATCTGAGCTGTTTGTCGACGTATATGGCGACTCCACCTCCTTCTTTCAGATCCCTATCTCGCCTGACAAGGACCATATCATTTATACTGACTTCGCTGTCTGCCACCGTAGGGGTTAGCCAGGTTTCCGTCAGTATTATGATTTTGGAGTTCAGCTGTGATTGTAGGTATCTAAGTTCAGCTATTTTGCCTCTTAGACCTCTCACATTACTGTACAGGCAACTGGTAGTCAGTCTCACCACGTCCCCGTATTGGGGGGTGGTTGACGTGATGTGGGCTGTCGGTTGAGGAGTTATCCTACGAACTAGTTGGCCGATTCCCCGGGAACCGGCCTGTTGGAGTTTTTTTCTTCTGATTCAATCGGAGCACTTGGATGGCACTGGCTATCATCGTCCGTGCTGCACCGCTGTATTGTGACTAGGGGTTGGGGATGTTCTATGACAACGTTTTGCTCTCTCCTTTGGGTACGAGGCCGGCTCTCGCAGCAGCGAATGTGTCTGCTGACCTTGTCTTTGGTCTCGTACCATCTCTGGAGAGCAGTAGTCAAGTGGTCTCGGGAGCTAAACTTAACAGCTAACAGATGTGGGGTGTTAATTGACATTAGGTGAGTGGGTCGAGGCAGTCTAAAAATAGAGACAGCCCCTGAACTTCCCAGACCCATCTGGGATGCCAACCATCTCCATTGCTGGACATCGTGACAGTGCTTCTCACAAGCGTTCCCAGTTTCCAGTTCAGGAATGCCGTGAACAACCATGGAGGCAGAAGGAATAAGCTCTGGCGACTCCCTCGCCATCTGTCTTTCCTTCCATGGCCTATCTGGCCTAACACGTATATTGCAGGTCCTCCCTATAGAAAGGACTTGGGAAGTCAATAAAACTTTTTCGGCATCTTCGGCAGAGCCTAGTGTTACCCTCAGTGGGGATGGTTTGCCTTGAGGAGCAGCAGTA